GGAAATCTCTAATTAATAAAATTAGTGGCAGAAACTTAAAGCCCTATTTAGTTTGTGTCTCAAAAATAATATTTCAAAATTATTTTTGGGAAGAGTTTTAGAAAATTTTGTTTTGATGTTTTTGTGTCTCATAGTTTGTTTGATTATATGATTCCAAAAATAGTTTTACGGAATAAAAAATAATAAAATTTGTTTGAACAACAACTCAAAAAATAATTAAAACATAAACATGGTGGTAGTGAATGTGGTGGTGGAAGTGTGTGGTCCTAGTGTTTTTTAAATTTTGGAAACAACTTCTTTTCCAGAATTTATTTTTGAAAATAGAAAAATAATTTTTGAGATTCAAACAAAATTGGGCCTTATTTTCGTATATAGTTATCATCAGTTTGAAAATAGAATAACAAATAGAAAAATTTCAAAATTTTATTTTCTAAACATTCTGATCGAAACACAATAAAACACATCGAAACACAGAAACGTTAATTATTTGTTTCACTATATAGAGAAACGAAAACATTTTGATGATTTAAGTGCAAAAAAAAAAAACTTAAGAGGAGTGCAGTCAAACTTTTAAACTATGTTTGATGTCAATTTAGCTCTTGAACTATACAATTTGATGGAAAGCGTTTTTTTGACAATTCTATCAAAATTCTGACAGAACTATATAATTCTATCAAAATTCGCTGTTAACTTTGACAGAAAGCATCACGTGCACGTCACGTGAGCTAGAGATTAAGTTACAATTTAGGGTTTTTGGTTGTAGGTACAATTTTTTAGACTTATTTGAGGAAAAATGTATGAATACGTTATTTACTCTATTAAATTCAATTTTAATAAAACATATTGTGTTTATGTATAAAATTCAAATGAAATCAAAATCGTTTTACTTAAATACCCTCTCTTAAATTATGTATTATTGATTGACAATTACATATCTAATCAAATATGTAAAGATTTCATTAGACTGTCTCACTATCTCTTCCATATTTTCTTTCCATTTCTTTCTCTTTCCCCATTACTTTTCCCATCTCTCCGCTATTTTCTCTTTATATCTATCATTGATAATTTATTTTCTTTTCAAATATATAAATATTAGATTTATTTTTTCATCTCTCCCCCCTATTTTTTTTCTCTATCTCTCTATTTATATCAACATTACAACAACATAATTATATTAATCAGTTACAATTATCTTATAATACACCAAATAGTTATTCATGCATTTTAATAAACCAAACAGTTACACCAAACAATTACACAAATTTATAACATCAACCTAATTTGTCATTCAATTGTTTACATAAATTATATAGTTGCACTATTTAGTATCATGACATCGTTACACCAATCATATATATCAAATTTAGTATAATGGTAAAGTCTTTTATTTAATGATAAACCCAATTTTGTGCATATAATTGGTATAACCATGTCGTGATACTAAATGATATAACTTTTTAATTTATGTGAATAACAAAATGACAAATTGGGTTGATATTGTAATTTTGTATAATTTTTTAGTGTAACTCTTTGGTTTATTAGAAACACATGAATAACTATTTAGTGTATTATAGAGTAATTGTAACTAATTAATGTAACTGATTAGTATAATTGTGTCGTGTATCGTTGATATAAGGAGAGAGAAAAGAAAGAGAATAAGGATATAAGGGGAGGGAGAGTGAGAGAGAGAAAAAATAGGGGGAGAGAGATGAAAAAAATTAAATTAAATTTTTATATATTTAAAAAAAAATTAACAATATGAGAGAGAGAGAGAGAGAGAAATACATAGAGAGAAAATAGAGAAAAAAGAGTGAAAGAGTAATGTAGAGAGAGAAGGACAGAGAGTAATTGAGTAATAAATACTCTTTTAGTCTTTTTAAAAAAATGCACTTAGGGTCAAATAAGTCCAAATTTTTATACCGACTTCTAAATTACCCTATAATTTATATATTATGTGACGTGCACATAAAAATTAATGGCGAATTTGGACTCTTATCTCTCCATGGTAAAGTAATGGATAACCCACTCCATTTTTTTTTTTTTCAACATTAGGATTTCAATTTCAACAGGTTAACTCAAATCCAATTTGAGTCTAACTTGAAATCTTAGGTACTTCAAATCAAACATGAATAGTACTCGAGCTCAATACTAAAATCAAATTCGTCAAAATTTTTACCTAGATTTGAATCTCAAATCAATATGAATTACAAGACTAATAGGTCTCACAAATTTTAATTTTGTATCTAATGATTATTATTGTACCACATCACTTGAAATCCAAAATTTCGTAAAAATTTTGGTGAACATAAAACTTTTCAATCAAATTTAAATTCAAACTAAATTCTAAACCGACTTAAGTTGAATCTCAATTGACCCTCAATCCGCTCGATCAACCCGAGTTCATGAGTTGCATCAAGTTGACTCCCTTGTCAAAGTAATATACATAAATTCTAAGAAATCATTGTTGAATTTGTAGGGCTGCCAAATGGCCCATTTCATAAAACCAACTTCACGTATTAGCTATTGTTGCCGCTTATTGTCACACTCTCATAGCTGCCAGTGGGGCCCACTTAACTCTTCTTTCATGCAACTCTTGAATTCCATTTCGGCATTGTACATTAATTGTACTAAATACTAGAATGTTTTTTTCTTTCACATTTTCACCCCAATAGTTTCATATGAATAGTATGGTGGACCTTTTTGTACTTTTGGATTGATGTCCATTCTTAAGTGTTTCCTGGGGGTAATAATGAACAACAATAGTTCTAACAAATAACTAGTTTAAATCGGAGAACCACTACTAATATCTCATGTTTGAAGATACGATGTAATATAAAATTCGAGCATTTAAAAAATTAATATCATTGTATTTTATGATATTTTTTTCTTTTTTCTTTTGTAATTACATAATGCAATATTAATTTTTGTCCATTATTTAAAAAAATTAATAACTTTTTAAAAAAAATACATTACCTAAAAAATTATTAATATGTGTAGACTATTGTTGAAGAGCAATATTTGAAATAAAAATTATATTAAACAATGAATTAATAAAAAATTAAATAATTTTACTTGTAATAAAAATAAGTGATATGATAAAAATGGGCAAAAAAAGAAAAAAGAAAAAATTATCAATAAATCCTACTTTTACTCTATAGTTCATATTCAACTTTGAAAAGTCTTACTTTTAATAATTTATTTCTAAGAAATTCTAAGATCCATTAATAGTTTCTTTTGCTCAAATTTTACCCTCCATGAACTCAAAAATTATATTTTTATTTATATTTAATTTTATTTATGAGAATATAATTTTTGTATCTTATATTAAAACTACATAAATTATACCTTTAATTATCAAAGTATTCACCGTATAGATATATAAGAGTTTATATGCAAATGAATCCTACATAGTATAAAAATTATAATATATTTAATATTTTTATTTTATCTCTTAAATACAATATCTAACTTCTTAGAATCTAATTTTTATGCCTTAAAATAATAATTATTATCTAATAATTTGTCTAGGTATAAGAGATTTATTATTCAAGAATTTTTTAATTTTGATGTGTATAACTTGTCTTTAATTAAACAAAAAAAAAATTAATCGAGGTATACGTAAGTTAAGTCAATATCTTTTAATGGTAATATTAAAAAAAAAAGCATTAATGAAAAAGAAAACAAATTCATTATAAAGAAATTAAGAATACAATTTTTTAAAAATAGAAAAAATAAATAACAATTATTATGGGTTAAATATCGCCTAGAAGTTGCATCTCTCCCTAAATTCAGCGTAAAAAATCTAGCACTGGCTTTCTCTCTCCTCAATGCTATAAAACGACATCCGGAAAATAATGGCGGTTGTGTTGATTGATTGGAGGTGTGATGAGAGAGAAAACGATAGATATATAGATATAGTGGGAGAAAGTGATAGATACAGAGAGAGAAAGTAGTAGAAAGCTCAAACACAAACACAAGCAAAGGCTGCAGAGAAGCAGAGCTACACAGTGTTATCACACTCTAAACATTCGTCGGCAGTAGTATGCTTTCCCATTCCTATTACTAGAAACCAAAGGAAAAAACCCTAGTAGGTTTCATCTTCAGCTCTCCTAATCCTCAGCACACTTATGCATATAGGTATACATACATATGCATAAACCTACCCACACACATAGAGACAGAAATGTTTATATCGTATGTGGTGTGTGGTTTAACTAGGAAGGGCTATTGATATGCTTGATTTGTGAGCCGAATCTGTGATTTTTGTGGAGGTAGGAGTTCGGGTTTCTTTAGGGTTTGTATTGAAGCAATAGTTTTGTGATTTGGAGCTCATAATTGGGTTTTGCTTGTGGTTCTCGCTAAGATCTGAAGTGGTCTGCGGGGTTATTCACTTTTTGGGTCTGCTGGGTTGTGTACTTTTTTTTTGCTTAGATGAGTAGTTTATCTAGGGGATTTTGAACTCAAGAGCTTAATATAAGTGAAAATTGGGAGGTTTAGTGGGGTTAAGCCAAGAAAATTGGGAAACTTGTGGGAGTTTGAGCTGAAATGTGGTGGTTGATTTGTTAAAGATTGGGCCCATGAAGTTCCTAATTGCAAATTCGGGTGTTTGGGGTTGGGTGGAGGACTTCAAGTGCTGATGAAGCTTAAACATTTCGTGTTTTGTAGTGGAACCGGCTTCGGTTGAAGATTTTTGAAGTGTGTTAAAGCTGTTTGGATCATTTCCTTCACATGCGGGTTTTATAGCCAGCAATTTGGTGAGTTGGTGGTGGCATCAACAGTTTCATTAGTCTGCCCAATATGCAGCGTTGGATGGGTTTTGAAAGGGTAAAATAAGGTTAGTATTGTGTTTTTGGGTGGAAAGGAGTTAGAAGACTTGTTTCAGCTTTGTGGGTGTTTGGTTTTGGGCAATTCTGTACTGAAGAGTTGGGGTTGGTGATTTTATTTGGTTTGCTTTTGTGGCTCTGGATTTGGTGTTACGTGATACTGTCCGATCTGCTGGAATGAGGCTCTCGTCTGCTGGTTTTAATCAGCAGTCACCTGAAGGTATATTTTTGTTTGTTATTTGGCAATGTTGGTTGGGTTGCTTCTTTCCTGGGTTTAAACTTCTGCATATCTTCCTCTAACTAAGGTAGGAAGCCTTGTTTGGCTTCTTGGGCAAACCATGAGGGACTTCATGTCATGATTCTCGTGCTTGGGTTGCCATTAGTTTCACTTGTTTTGCTATTTTTCCGCACTGTTCCTATTTTTGTGGTTAATAGGTATTTTTATCTCTCAATACTGCTGCAAATAGGCTATTAGTTTTCAGGGCAGGCTGAGTTTTTTTGGGGCTGATTTTACTTTTTGATTCTGTTATCTGTCACTCCAACAGTCTTTTTCTGCTGATTTTCATTTTTTCATCTATTCATTTTTGGGAATTTGAATTTCCATTTCATTCAGTTACAAGCACATGATGTTTTCTGTATGATCAGATATATTCATTTGGAAATTTCTCTCGTTATAGAAAAAGACTCCTGGGAACCCATGTGACCACCCTTATATAACATTCTTGTAAAGGGGTTTTTCTTACAACCTCAACTATTCTTCTTGAAATTTATGGTCCTATGAATTTTTATTTGCAGGGGAGAATAGATGTCTGAATTCTGAACTTTGGCATGCATGTGCGGGTCCTCTTATATCTTTGCCTGCTGTGGGAAGCCGTGTCGTATACTTCCCTCAGGGTCACAGCGAGCAGGTCTGTTATGTGGAGCAGAAAGCATACGTACCTACTAGTTTTAGCAATTTAATCTCATCAAACCAGTCAGTCTTTTGCTTATGTTTCCTTTGCAAGATCATATTTGTTTCTTATGTTCTGGGAACAGGAAAGTTTGTTTCGTGTTTGTGTATATTTTTTATGCTCGATATATAGTATTGCCTTAACTTAAACTTACCCAGTCCAAAGGTCCAGCAATAATCTTGATCTATGTAAAATTCAGTGAACATTAAGCATGAATTCTGTGGAAGCTTGAAAAGGTTTTTTTGGGTAATAGCCACTCCTTACATTCTTATATCGTGCATTTGTTTGGTTAATTTCTGAGCTAAAGGTCCAGTATTTAGCTAAACTAGATGATACTGCACCTATTGATGCCCGTGTTTCTGCATGTAGTTATTTAAATGCTTTTCTAGTCACGATTCATATTAGTGACACATTTACTGTAATGGTAGTTAGTCAGTTCAAGTTGATAGTGATGTCCCTTCTGTAAGTAGCTGGAAGCTCTTTCTGACCCCACCTTTTTAGCTTTTATTTTTGCTTTGCTTTTTATGTTTTGTCTTCTTAGATGGTTTTTTTTCCTCTCTCTAGTAGTAATAAGTGTGCATGGCAATTGGCAATTGACATCTCAAGCTGTTTCCAAAGAATATGTGCTTGGTGTCTGTTTGCCTTTGCCAACCTGACTTCCCATTGTAATCCATTGAAAAAATTGGGCATTGTGGAGAATAATACGATCATGTTAAGATAAAATTCTTATGTAGTGTTGGCTTCAACTTTGTTTAATGCATTCCATGTAGGTTGCTGCATCAACCAACAAGGAAGTGGATGCTCATATCCCTAATTATCCAAGCTTACCTCCACAACTTATCTGTCAGCTTCACAATGTGACCATGCACGTAAGTGGCCTTTTGTAGTGTTCCTGTTTCTGAATATATTTACAGGTTGCTTCTAGAGACTCAAAATTTCTTTACTTCAGGCTGATGTGGAGACAGATGAGGTCTATGCTCAGATGACCTTGCAACCACTGAGCCCAGTATGTTACCATTGTTTGGTTAGCTTATGATTGCCGTGTCTTCTCTCTTCTTAATATTAATTTTTCTCCTGTTTCACATTTCCTGTAGCAAGAGCAAAAGGAGGCCTTCCTTCCAGCTGATTTGGGTGTCCCCAGCAAACAGCCGACAAATTACTTCTGTAAAACATTGACAGCAAGTGACACAAGTACTCATGGGGGATTTTCTGTTCCTCGCCGTTCAGCTGAAAAAGTGTTTCCTCCACTGGTAAACTTTATTTGCAGCTATGGAGTTAAACTATCCAGTTTTGAGATATCAATTTGCTAAAATATTTCTTATTTTCAAAATTATACTTTTCACCTGCAGGACTTCTCCCAGCAACCTCCAGCCCAGGAGTTAATCGCAAGGGACTTACATGATAATGAATGGAAATTCAGACACATATTTCGTGGTGAGTTTCCTAACACCTAACAAGCTTGTTATTATTCGTCTTCCCCCCAAATTGAGATTTGTATAATTATGCTAGTTATTATTGATGGATTGTGAATTTTCTCATTCTATTTCTTCTAATATCACCTTTTTGTGTCTGGCCTCATTTTCAAAATCACCTAGTTTTTTAGTTTTTTCTTTGTGTTGTGAATGGACACCTTGACTTTATCCTTGTGACCTCATTTACCTCGAGATGGTGGATTTTCAAGTTTGAACAGCAAAAGTGAATTGCTACCATGATGGATTTTAAATCTGTTGCTTTGATTGGGATGAATTGACTTAGCTGAGGGAATTTGGGGGAAGGGGATGGGAATTGCAATGAAGGTGCATGCCCACTTGAAATGATATATTTTCGGCCTAACCATTATTTAGAATAGATTTCACTGGCTAACAAGTTGGACCTCATGCATCATCTTTTTTCTTGAGGAAGGAGTTGGGGCATCATTTATCATTCAGTGCAATCTGAAGTCCACCAAATTGAACTTTGCCGTTCTAATCTTCATGTGTACATGATTAAATCATTCATCAGGACATCAAATTTACTGTATCAATAGCTTCTTTGAATACTAATGCTAGTTTACAATAAGACTGAATCCACCTTAATCATCTCCAGTGATGTTTTGCACGTTATTTTTCAAGGTACAATTTTGTTGTCATTGATTGTCTTGGAATATTGCAATGTCAAATCAAAATTGGCAAGGTTTGGAAACCTGCTGTACGATTCTTAGCAATTGTTGCCTTTTATTCTTACTGCAGGGCAGCCAAAGAGGCATCTCCTTACAACTGGATGGAGTGTGTTTGTTAGTGCAAAAAGACTTGTTGCTGGTGATGCAGTCCTTTTCATATGGTAGGCAGTCTAATGTTTTAATGTATTAACTTTCTCTCTGCGTCTTTTCCTGGTGTTGTGGAAGAAAAGATGCATGTTCTGAGTGTTGTCTCTTATAAATGTAAATACTAACACCTCTATTTATCTGAGGTCATTTAAGCAATGTATACAACTGATCATAAGCTTGGACAGTCAATAAAGGTATGGGCCGTATGGCAGAGTTTGAAAAACCAATTCTATATGTAGCTCACATTCAGGTTGACTAATGTTCAGAGGAAAAGAAGAAAAAAATATGAGCCAGAGTATCCTTTTCGAACTGTCACTTGTAGTGCTCGAGATAAATAATTCTTTGGTGTGTCTGTTAGGTGCAACTTTCTTCTCTCTCACCTCTTAAAATGCTATATGCTGTTCTACAATATGCAATAACTTTAAATATTCAGTCAAATTGCATTTGACTTCTATTTCCTTTCATAGGAATGAGAACAACCAATTGTTTCTTGGTATTCGGCGTGCCAATCGTCCACAGACAGTGATGCCTTCTTCAGTTTTATCAAGTGACAGCATGCATTTGGGACTTCTTGCTGCTGCAGCACATGCAGCTGCAACTAACAGCCGTTTCACCATATTTTACAATCCTAGGTATTTCTCTTTGCATGGTGGGACATAGTATTTTGGAAGTCTTCCCTGTTAATTTATGTTAGCTTGTTGACTTCAGGGCTAGTCCATCAGAATTTGTTATACCTCTGACCAAGTATGTTAAAGCGGTCTATCATACACGAGTTTCGGTTGGTATGCGCTTTCGGATGCTGTTTGAAACGGAAGAATCAAGTGTCCGTCGGTAGGTTTTATTTGTCTTATGGAAGAATATCATCTTACTTTTATGCTTTTTGGGGTTTCTGCTCATATATTGTTGAGCTTCAGGATTGAAAAGTAGACTTTCAATACTTCTCTCTGCGACTTCTTCTAGAGGCAAATGTTTACTTGGTTTATTGCATTAGCCTCCGTCCATATCTTTAGTCTTTGGTTAGCAATTGTTTCAAAGTAATTGGAATGTATGCTGGACAAATCTTTGCCTCTTTGGTGGTTATTTATTTGTAAGTTATCAGGAAATCAATAATCCAACACTAAAATTTTGAGGATTGATGTAACCTGCTGAGTTTCTGTTGGCAGACTGCGATATTTATCTCAAAGACTTTCTTCTGAATCACATGGATTTCTTGTGTTGAACTAGGATGAGAACACTGAAATGTTGAATGGATGTCACCTGGTCCTGTTTAACTTAATGAAATTCCATTAGATAAATTTTTTACTGAATTTAGTAGACTTGAATGCTACTTGTGTTGTACGTATTCCTGATTTTATCAAGGACCTTGATAAGTTTCAAGCCAAGCTGGCCTATTTTGTTACCTTTTTTTGGCTATCTTGAATTTCTTCCTGTGAAGTTGGAATTTGTAGGGTATTCAGATTAGACATCTGACACTTATTTTCATTTCAGCTACATGGGAACGATAACTGGCATAAGTGACTGGGATCCTGTTCGTTGGCCAAACTCACATTGGCGCTCAGTGAAGGTAGGCTGTGTACAATAACAGCCCTTTGCTTATCTATAGCTTTTTTTTTGTTGATTGTGGACCACACATTTTACTTGTGAAACAAGTGCATAGAACTTTATTGACAAAGTGGTTCCTGCAATACATAAAGCATATGACTTCCCCCCCCCCCACGGGAAAAAAAAAAAAAATACATAAAGCATATGGGAACATATAAGGGATGTTCTAATTAACTTTTGACTTGATAAATGCAGGTTGGCTGGGATGAGTCTACCACTGGGGAGAGGCAGCCCCGAGTGTCCCTATGGGAGATTGAACCTTTAACCACATTCTCCATGTATCCATCCCCATTTCCCCTCAGACTCAAGCGACCATGGCCTCCAGGATTACCCTCTTTCACTGGTACCTTGTCTACTTCTAATTTTACGCCCGATTGATTGTTTCATAATCTTTATATCTTTGTTACTTTTGTTTTTTTGGGAACAATCATCCCATACTGATCTTAGTTTCCAGTTTTCTCTCATTTTGTGACCTTTCTCATTGACTTCCATTAGTCATCAAGGCCAGAAGTCCAGGTCTGCAACGTTGTTTTATAATCTCCATCTTTATTGTTCTTAGGAATGAAGGAGGATGAACTGGGAATGAATTCACAGCTTATGTGGATTCGTGGAGATAATGGAGACCATGGAATCCAATCTCTCAACTTTCAGGGAATTGGGGCCACACCATGGATGCAGCCAAGGCTTGATGCTTCCATGCTTGGTAGGCAAACTGATATTTACCAAGCTATGGCTGCGGCACCTCTTCAGGAGGTGAGGGCTGTGGATCCTTCCAAACATGCACTTCTTTCGCTTCTGCAGTTCCAGCAGCCCCAAGGTGGCAGACTTGCTGGTCTTGGTCAGCCTCAGATCTTGCAGCAATCGCTGCCTCAGATCTTGCAGCAATCTCTGCCTCAGATCTTGCAGCAGCAATCTCAGCCTCAATGTACCTTTATTCAAAGTGTTCCAGAAAACCAGTCCCAGACCCATACTCAGGCTCAGTCTCAGACTCATATTCTTCAACAACCATTGCCGCAGCAGAACTCCTTCAACCAGCTGCAGCAGCCACTTCCACAACAACAGCAGCAGCAGCCACTGCCACAACTGCATCAACCACAACTGGTTGATCGTCAGCAGGTTTCAAGTGTTGGCCGTGGTATGTATCAACATGCCTCAAGCTCCCAAGCCCAGTCACCTTCACTGCGAACCATCAGTTCCATGCAGCAGCAGAGCTTTTCTGATTCAAATGGGAATCCTTCAACCAATGCTATTGTGTCGTCTCTGCAAAATCTTACGGGTTCATTCCCCCAGGATGAAACATCCCACCTTCTCAACTTGTCTAGGTCCAGCACATTATTATCATCTGCCGGCTGGCCACCAAAGCGAGTTGCAGTTGATCCTCTTCTTTCTTCTGGAGCAACACAATGTATTCTGCCCCAAGTCGAACATTTAGGACCACCCCATATGAAAATCTCTCAGAATTCTGTTTCATTGCCACCATTTCCTGGAAGGGAGTGTTCCTTTGACCAAGAAGGGAGCATTGATCCCCACAGCCACCTATTATTTGGAGTTAATATAGACTCCTCATCACTTCTCATGCAGAATGGGATGTCTACCCTTAGGGGCGTCCGTAGCGATACTGATTCTACTACTATGCCCTTTGCTTCTTCCAGTTATATGAGTTCTACGGGCACCGATTTTTCACCTAATCCGGCAATGACGCCATCTAGTTGCATTGATGAATCGGCTTTCCTGCAATCTCCTGAAAACATGGGACAAGCAAACCCACCAACCAGAACCTTTGTTAAGGTTAGTTGCCTGCTCTAATTTCAAAACATGTTGACTTGACACTTTTGGGGTGATTTATGGCTGTAAACTCATCCCTTTGTATCTTATTTCATGATGAGTTGGTTTGACGTTCTGTCTCGCTTCTCCCCATATCATCCGAAAAACCCCAAACGAAACAAAAAATAATCTGCATTTTTGCCCTGTTAATTTTTCCCTTTGTTTTTATTGTTATGATCTAGTTGAGGCTTTGATATACGTATATATGTGCCTTGTCTTTCTTGAGTTTTGATCTGGATTTCCCAACTGCTGGCAGGTTCACAAGTCAGGGTCCTTTGGAAGGGTACTAGATATCGCCAAGTTCAGCAGCTACCATGAGCTGCGCAGTGAGCTTGCTCGAATGTTTGGCCTTGAAGGCCAATTGGAGGACCCCCTGAGATCAGGCTGGCAGCTTGTATTTGTTGACCGGGAGAATGATGTTCTTCTCCTTGGTGATGACCCCTGGCAGTGAGTTTCCTTCTATCTTGTCTCTTCATGAAAGGGTTTAATATAGACAGCCCAACTGCTATGGTTTGCATCAAGGTTTCAAGCCCAAAGCTTGGGTTGTGGCACGAACAGTGGAAACAATTTTGCTGAAAAATTTAACCACTGAATTTCTGATTTTTTGGAGCTCAAATAGCGTTTGGAAGATAGTTGCACCATGTAAATAGTACCATTTATATGTTTTTGATGAGCATAGTTTTTGGGTTTATGCTCAAAATCAAAAATGTGTTTTTTCGTTTGTTTTTTGTGTTCATCTCAGACGAATGTCATGTTTCTCTCTATTTCAGGGAGTTTGTAAACAGTGTCTGGTGTATCAAGATACTCTCGCCCCAAGAAGTGCAGCAGATGGGCAGAAGTGGTCTTGAGCTTCTGAACTCTGTCCCAATTCCAGGGCTTCCCAATAACAGTTGCGATGAATATGTTAGCGGTCAAGAGTCGATGAATTTGAGCTCCGGGATCACATCTGTGGGGTCTTTGGATTACTGAAACAATTTAACCAGTTAAGCTACCTTTCCCTCTATTGTAATATTAGTATTTCTTCCAACACCTGTATGGTGGGAAGAAATGCCTGATTCTAGTATGAAGCTTCTATGAAAGCTGACACTGTAAGTATGATGAGATATCTTCCTCTTTCTATGCTTTAAATGTTGAGCCGCATTTTGTAGGAGACTACTCTCTCTATAGAATCATAGATAGCTGTTGTGTTTAGGAAAAAATTGTAGGTGATCTCCCTGCGGTTTGTCTTAGTAATATACTACCTTCTTGTTTTTTGGAAACCTCCGCATACTTTCTATGGTTTTGGACCAATTTGAAACTGCTTGGAGCTCCATGAAAACAAACCGTCAACTATCAAAAGTCGATATTTCTATATTGAAATGACTTTTATACCATTGTACATGTTATATTTGTATTCACATTTGTGCCTATGCTTGCTACTCTATACATGCAATGTTGAATTTTTAGGAGACCATGGCAGGTTTTTTTATCTTTATTATTCCCTCTTGACTGTAGTTTTTTACTTGTTTTTTCAAAATTACTGTTGTTTCTTTGAAAGCGTGGTTTTAACTCATGCTTTGTACTTGAGGCGGCATGTTTAGCAAGCAAACATTTACGTCGAAAAGCATGGTTTAATCATATGCTTTCATGGAAATAATCGTAATTTGGAAAATAAGTTACAAATTGAAAGATGAAAAAATCATGGTAATTTGGACATTGATTAGGTATATTTATGTGTGCTGACATGTGGGGTTGTGGAAATAGATAAGAACCTTTTTGGAGGATGGAATGGTGACAAGGAAGGGCACTATCAACACTAATAGTACCAGTTAAAGTTTGAATTGGTATTTCAACTACCCCAACTACTCTCCCTTTATACCTGTGGGCTGGGGAGTCTTTTTCTAAAGGGTAAAAATCATATTTAGTCTTTGAATTGTATCCTTGGTTTTAATTTGATACCAATTTTTTCAATTTACTCTTTAAATTATCAATTTTGTCTTAATTAAGTCATACCATCAATTTCTATAGTTAGATCAATTGAAGACTAATCTAATTTGATTCATTTCAGCATTTTGATCCAACGGTTGAAATGAACAGAATGATTTAAGTGAGACAAAATTGATAATTGAGAGATTAAATTTGAAATAATTGAAAGTTTAAGTACTAAATTAAAATTGAAAGCAATGTTCAGGATAAACTATGTTCTTCACTCTTTTCTAAGTGAAGGTCACATTGATTTGAAAAGTGTTGACCCCATCATCTGTGACACACTAGGAATTGTTTCACCTGGTTAGATATGTGTGCTGTGCTGTGCTGTTCCTTCCCTGATTTGTGTGGTGGCTGTAGGACTTTTCCAGCTGACCATGGTCTTGGTCACTGTGTTGATGCATGTGCACACACTTTAGATTGTTGTGATGATAGATAGCACTTCACTGAATAGGGGTTGTTCATTGCACAAGGTTTTTGTCGCGTAGGAGGGTGAGATATATAATCTTATTTTTACAATCAAAGATACTGTTTTTGCAACTCTATAGAATTGGGAATGGTCAATATTATTCTCATCCATACCCCAAATCTGATCTTCGGATCTTAAATGTTTAAGAAAATAGTCTTAACCTATCATGTAATTCCAAGAATTTTAGCCAAGAGGTAATTTTTTAAATTTAGGGGACCATGGTTTCCCATGTTGAGGCAAGAGAGGGAGGAAAGGATTGAATCTTTGGTTTAATCATTCACAACCATTGATCATTAAAAGAATAAAGTAAATAAAAAAAATTAAATAAATTTTGTGTCTCATTCTAAAGGAAAAGAACGTTTAATCAAGATATTGATTGAGGTATAAGACTTAAGTTTTTATAAACTTAAATTAGTTGTTTTTCAACTTCCGAGAAAAGAGCATACTAGTTCTTGAGAGTGAAACCAAGACCTTATAACTCGATTGGATGAAAGTGCTACGAGGCGACCTCCAAAATCCCAGCTAGTTTGGGCCTACACCTTTCATTTTTCAATTCAATCTACATTCTCTCTATTATGGGTGGCCATGGGAACTATAAAAATTAGAGCCATGGTGAAGTATAACTTGAATCAATCACCATCCTGCCCTTTTTTTTTTTTTTTAACCTTTTCACTTCAATATCATACTTTCTTATTTTTTTTAATTACTACCATATTTGTGAAAAAAATTATTACATATTTTTTAATACAAAAATGTGTATGTAAAACACACTTTCAATTAAAGACAATAAAATTGTGTTTCGTAGATCCGTTTTTGTACTGAAAAGTACGTGTTTAATCACAATTTAAAGAAGACTAACAGTAATTTAGAAAACAAGTTAAAGAGTACGAAACTGCCAAGAAGGTCTTTCAATTGATGCTACTACCCATCCTTTTTTTTTTTCCAGGTTGTTGCTCTCTAATTTTAGTGTTCTTCAGTTCAGTCTTCTGCCAAAACCTCTCGGTTTCTCTTTCACATGTACTTATTCGTTTATCATGCGTTCATGCTTTCATCCGCCCAAGCAAAATATCGTGAATTCAAGAATTAGCCTCTCCAAAATGAAAATAAAATTATACTCCATTATACCGGGAGTTTTGTGCACCGCTAGTAATCATTTGTTTTTTCAGAAAAAAGAATTAACGGGTCTATCTGCCCAGCAAGAAACTGTGCAAAGCTTGGAGTTGGGAAGAATTTGAGAGAGGTGACAATGTATAGATCAATTGCTTTGCATTCTGTGGTTGCTAAAGTTAATACAGGAATGGATGACAAAACAGGACAACACTCCTTTGATGATGAAATCCAGACTGAGTTCAAAGATGCTACTCAAACAAAGTAACTCTATAAGGAAACACTTTCTTATCTGCACTCTGCTAATTTTATCATGTCCAACCACAACATACGAAAGAATATGATGGAATTCGACCTGTTTGTCGAATGTATTCAGCCTGAGCTGCAGTTCTTTCCGCCTGGCGATTTTTCCTAGCTTCAGCTGCAGCCCTTTTTTCAACCGCCCTTTGCCTTGTCATTGCAATCTTCTTCGCCATTTTTGTTTGAGCATGTGCTCGCATTTGATCAACTTGGGTCTAAAAAACAAGAGACGTTTGTATTAGAGGCACTAAAATAGCTCAGTGTGTTCTAGTCTTGTTATTAAAGATGATAATCATCACATTTAGAACTGGATCGAAGTTTTGATTCATGTTAATATTTCACTAGCAGATCTCGTAAATGAGTTCCACTCCAGCTTTTCTTGAGAGAATGCACAATGAGATCTTGAATGCCACAGTAAAGTGCTTCATGTTATGATATCGTGGAGAAAGAAAAATTCAAGTACCTCTATTCTCCTCATCTCTTCTTCAAGTTTTGCTTTATGCTGACTTTCCCATGCTTGGATTTTGATTTCTTCGCGTTTAAATCTGGATAATGGACAATAAGTTTACTTAAATGGAGAATGTAGTTTTTATAGCAGAAACGATCATGCTTTTCTCTCCAAGAGAATAATCATGTGTACCCAATTTAAAAGTATTAGTCATTAGAAGTAGCACAAACCTGGCAGTGTGTTTAGATTTTTCAACTTCCTCCCATGCTGTAGCACGTTGTTCAAATTCTATCCAATCAAGTTCCTCTGCATGGATGGTTTCAACTGGAGACATATTCTTATCTCTCAAATCCTTACTTGCCCAGGCAGCGATATTCGTCTTGCCAAGTTGAACACCTAGTGCTTCTATCTCCCTTCTTGTCTTGAGCTTTAGATCTTGCTCCGACAATTCTGCTTTGCCTTTTTCAATTGTCTGTGATGATGCTTCATCAATGGTGTACTCTGTTGGTGTGGGTGCTGGTGCTCCTCGTCGAGGAGTAGATGGGTTTGAAGAAGCTGGGCTGCGCAGTGGAGTTGTTGCCCCTATAGGAGTAGAAGTCCTTGAAGGCTCTTGACTTGGAATTGGGGTCATTTCTGTTCCCATGTCTCTCATTGAAACTGATCTTACTGCAGGAACTCCTGCATAAACAATCATTACATCTTTGCATGAGACAAGAAAAAAAGAGTGACACGTAAATATGGACAGCAAATGACACAAGTTCTATTCAAGTATGAAACCGCAATGAGAATTAGACTTCTTTTGCAGCACAGATTTAACATATAAGTGGATTCTTGATCGTAGAAATGTCAAGCTTATAGAAACATCAACATGTCTATGAACCATGGCGTATCTACAGGTTTAGTTCTGATGATCCTTTTTCCTGTCAAATCCACAAAACATAAAATTCACAATTGATACCGTGAAATGGGGACAAAGAGATCTACTTTAGATGACCAGACCAACACAAAGCCATTAGATTCCAAGCTTGAAGAATCTGCTAGTTTGGATTCAACATAGATTGGTAGGCTCTTCCCCTAGCACTCATGTAATTGCCACATAGTTTTTTTTGCATAGGTGTGCTTCATTTGCATCGACCAATACAGTGGGTTGATTCTATTAAGTCAATTATTCTATATGCATCACCTAATTGAACTTTTGAATTATGTATTAGTACGGTATTTGTAGCTCACCGCAGCATAAATTTATACAGATGCATATTTGAAATAACTTAGCCATAAAGAAGAACAAATATCTATGAAATGAAGCTCAAACATAAAAGAAGTCTCTCTATTTCTCAACCTGCAATCTGAAGGAACCACGTGAAAATCATAATTTACCTGTTGTATCTTCTGCTGAACTCTTTGTTAAAGATGAATCTGTATTGTCAACTTCCTTCAAATCCTTACTTTGAGGACCCAAATCTATCACCGGGTTTGTTCCCCTCGCTTGACCTTGAGGAACAAAAGAGAACTTCTCCAACCCTATTTGTGATACTGCTGATGCAGGTTGACAGAAATCAACTCGCTTAACTGATAATTTGTGGTCATAACTAGCAGATTCTGGAGCTACTCTCACCATATTCATCATAGGTCCCCGATTTGCTTGATTTTGTAAATGGGCCTTCTTCGAATAATTAGCTTGCACATTTTGCCTACTCATTATCCACTTCTCTGCATCATTCCATTTAGACGACATAGGTCTTGATAGTGATCTTGTTAAGTGATTGTGTGGCCTCTCCCCTTTATGAAATTCAAAGCTAGATGTACTATCATAATCAAGACTTTCATCCTCCAGTGGTCTAACTGGGTGAATTGAACTCGAATTACCACAGTCATCTTTGGAAAATTGCTGCACTTTAACCTGACCGGGATCGCCATTTTCACTTGGCAAAAGCCCCTTTGGCTGGAAAGAACCTTGTTTACCGGACAATTTCACCGATGAAACCTCCAAACCGGAGACTGTAAATTCAGGGGAAAAGGCCACAAATCAGAACAGGTATTTGGTGCATCAAAACCAGTTGAAAGTCGAGCACAATATAAAAACAACTAAACTAAGCTGAGGAGCTCCAATTGGAGGGCAAATCCTAAAATCATTTTTGGAATTCATATATACTATTCAACTGTAGAACAATCTCTTCGCATGCAGGATAAGACTGCGTGCATGCGACCTCCCATATCCCAATGTGATAGGAGCCTAGTACACTGGCCGTTTATATATATACTGTTCAAATCTACAAATGGGTTTAGAGCCAAAATCAAGAGTGAATAAGTCACAAACCTTCCTGATCAAAATCTCCATCATTAGTGCCTAATAAACTGTTCTTCACAAGCTCAGAATCCTCAAGCTTGGAAGGAGATGTTCTTGAGGAATTACTATTTGATCCATCTTTCTTCTTTTGATGGTGAGGCCCTATCAGCTTCATCCTCAACTTGCTTGGAGAAATTATACCAGTCTACAGTGCACAAGAAATCAAAAATCAAATCATCAAATCTCACCCAGAAAAATTCCAAAAACTTGTCAACTTTGTGTAGAATACTCTTAATAGAGCCAAATACATCAACCTATGAAGCTCCAATTTGAGATTTCTCTATCAAAACCAAATGGGTATTCTTTCAACTAAAAATTAATTTCTAAAAACGTTTCAAACAATTAAAAGGCAAATTGAATAGAGCAAAAACCCATCAATCCAAGAAGTTCCAATTTGAGATTTCTTCACCACTGGGTATTCTTTCAGCTAAAAACTATGGGAAATTAGTTCTTAGGAAGTTTGCAAATTAGATAAAGCTAAAACCCAAGTAATTGAAAAAACTGATGTTTTTCACTACAATGCAATCATTGAAACACAAACCCATTATAGAAAACAAGGCAAAGATTACAACTGTTCACATCGAACAATCTGAATGAGACAACTGAGATTAGAAGCTCCTTTTGTTTTTTGTTTTTGCATTGGCTTCAATTGCATATTTACTACCATTGGGTGCACGGAGAAACCAAACCTGAATCTTGTGAATCCTCTCGTACTCCATTGGATCTCTCTCTCTCTCTCTCTCTCTCTCTCTCTCTCTCTCTCTCGCACACACACAGAGACAGAGGCCTAGAGAGACAAAATGAAGCAGGGGGGCAGAGCCTTTTGAAGTGGCAGTTCTCTCATGGGAGTGTTTTGTGTAGTTGGACAGGAGTTACCGAATAGTTCATGGGGTCGGCGATTTTTTACCGATTCTTTATCTTGAGACATGAGGGTGTTCAACGTTTGTAGTTTACTTCAAAGTGTGGTCGGAGAAAATAGTCATTTCAATCACCGACCAATAGAAATACACCACATATAGGATGAATAGATCCCATTATTTTAATAAATTAATTAATAATACCATATATCATCGTTATAATAAATATTACTCCATGAAATTTAAAATCTCTCGGTTATCACCTCTACATCCAAACTCTCTTCTCATCCTAACCTAATTAGAAAATTACTTACAAATATATTAAATTAATATTTATTTTTAAAATAAATATAAAATAGTTAATATAGATGATGAAAAATTCAAAGGTGAGATAGTTATAAAAAATGTTGGAAGTAGTTATATATGTCACATATTGAAATTTAATTGGAAGTGGCGAATTAAATAATTTAAAATTAGGATAAAAATGAGATATGGGAAAAGAAAATTTCTCAAACATTTTGTCAATTATTTTAGTATATAGTATAGATAGATATAGATATGACAACTAAGTATTTACTCACCAAAAAAAAGAAACAAAGACAAATTAGTTATTTGTGTAAATCATTTTTTTTTATCCCAGTTCAAATATTTATAATTTTTTTAAAAATAAACAAAGTTAAAATATTTGTTGTGTTTAAAGATCTAAATGTAAATAAAAATTTTATTGTAATTAAAAGATTAAAATGCAAGCAGTGTAACCTAAGTTGTCCAATCTAAATAATCTGAACTTTATTTTACTTTAATACGTCAGGAGTTTTATATTTTACAGTTTAAAGTGCCAGTGAGCATATTTATTTTGGGTTAAAATATTAATTAGATAGATTTAGGATGGTTAAACTATTATTAGGTAGATTTATTATGGTTAAAAGATAATACTATAAATAGACAAATTAAAATAGTTAAAGGATTAAAATATAAATTACAAGATAACTTGTTGGATGCAAATGATCTAGGCTATTATTATAAAATCTAGAATTTCTTATTATTTTTGTCAATTACTTTACATTTATATTTTTATAAAATATCAATTTAGTACATTATTAAATAATTTTTTAATAATGTTGTAATGAGATAGAGGTATAGGTGATACCAGCGTGAAAGTAGGAATGACAATGACAATAAGAAAATATTATAAATTTCGTATACTGGACATGCGATGATTAATAAAACTACCATAATGTGGATTATACTTTATCCACATTGATATGCACATATTTTTAAAAATACCACCTTGACTTGGGATATTAATTTAAAAAGTAATAGTATGTTTACTAAATTATTTATTAAATTTATATTCCAAATTAGTATCGGTGGTTGGATCAGTAGAGCATATTAACTTCCACTAGACATTTTTTTTTTAACGGACACTAAATATTTAATGTATAAAATTTTGACACTTTATTTAAAATATAATATTTAATAAATAAATTTGAGAAACACGATTTTATCTTAATTTAAAATATTTTGACAGATTTAGAAACCCTACATTTGATATGCCTAATGACAGATTTAGACGCCTACCACTGAGTTAGTATTTTTTTTCTCTAGTTTAATTCATAGTATTGAATTTTTATGTAGGTAAAATATAAGTGTATGATTAAAATATTTAGTATCGTTAAGATATTTACTCCGATTAAAAGGCTAAATTTGCCGCGATTAAAATATAAATTATAAAATAATTTATTGAATTTAGACGACATGGACTGTTCAAATTTGTGGGAGTATATTTTCTAGAGTAATGTGTAATATTAGATAGAAGAGAAACAATTTCGAACCAAAAAAAACACCCTAAAAATAGTAATTTCTACCCAAAAAAAGTGAATACATCCTAAAAATTAGTTGATTTCACCCAAAAAAATATATATATATATTCAAAAAAAGTGATAAATAGTATAGTTTAATTTTTTTCCGGGTATCATAATAAAACCCTAAATAAATGTTCAATTTTAGAAAACTAGACACGATTTACTATCTCTTTTTTTACTTTTTTTTTGTAGTGCGATCAGAATCGTTCAACTAACTTACAGGGACTTCAATTAATCTTCTCTTTCATCCGAATCAACTTTGGAATCTTGGCACTCTAAGTTCTTTGAACTTCCAAAATGTGTCCTTTTGTACCAGCCAAAAGTATGATATATGGTCCCTATTAGAATCTGAACAACATGGACCATAAAGAACACGTTGAAATGCACTGATCATGGTTCATGATTCAACCCTCTTTAACTTTCTTTTTTTGCAGTGAGTTCCACCATTTCCATTTGGTCAATCAAAGGAACCACCTTTGTCCTCAGAGGACAAAGATTTGTACTACCAGAATCCTTGGGCACACATTTATTTTGATTTATCAGGTTTATCGCTTATCGTACTTTAATCTTTAAATTTTTAATTTCGTCAATTTTTGTCTCTAAAATTCAAATATTGAGGTCATGTGGTCCATAACACTAACTCCCATCACAAAAATTGACGGAAAATATCACGTGTCCATCCCGTGCAGATTGTTAGGGACATTTTTGGTATTTTACAAACACAACAAAAGGTAAGGATCGAACCCCTTGACATACGGTTCCACGCTTCGTCTAGATCCAACCCCACACTACTAGCTACCTGTGTGGGTTTACATGTATTGATCTTATTCTTGGATGTTAGTATACTTTCAAAATCGTAGAGTCATGTATTCGTTTTCTTTTATTATATATTTTAGTGGTATGAGTATATATATGCAAAATTTACTAAAAACCCTATCAAAATTTACTAACGTTTAATGATGCAACGAAAACACAATTGCAAAGTTGTATAAATAAACTTTTCTACACAACACAAAGTGCATCATTTGGAGTTAATTAGGGGAGTTATGATAATTTTAATGAAGAGTGTCTATCCGACCTAATAACTTGAAAATTACTCTTTAATATTCCTTCCATTTCTAAATATATGTCGCTTAAGATTTTTGCATAGAGATTAAGGAAACTATTAAATAACTCTAATATGAGTAAAAAATAATTACACAAGATTTATTAAAAAGAATATTTTTTTCTTATTAGAATTAACATCAACATGTTTAATATTGGTTTTCATATTAAATAAGAAAAAAGTACAAGAAAAAAGTTCATAAAAACTTGAGCCACACCTCTTATAGAATGTCACAAGTTCAACGACACCTTGTATTATAAAAAGAGTAACGTAATTGATACTTAGTTTATTGACCTAATTTATAATTATTTTTGAATTGATTGTGGGTTCCATCAAATATAAGAATTTAGTGTTGATCCAATAGTTCCTCTGAAACCATGTCATCATGTTAATAAATTAGCTCAGATTTTTAGGTGTAAATAACATTACTCCCCTTGGATCCAACTTAAGGGACACTTTTAAGTATGAGCAATGCTATTGGAATCTAATTTACTGAAATAATTAATTATGACCTTTGGATTCATTGTAGACTCCATCAAATATTAGAATTTGGTGCTGATTCAATAATTCCTATGAAATCACGTTATTAAAATAATATTATTAGAGTGGATCTTGCCTCTTTGTTTGGTTATGATTTTCAATAATCTCGCCATGATTGTTGGATGACTTCGTCTATGTAAATTTGAAATCCCATTTGACTAAAAAAAGTATATAAGAATTTCAGGAGAAAAAGGAGACGAGTTTATAATTCATACGTCTTAAATTTAAATTTTAACAATTTTTAGAGATAGGTTATCAGAAATTTATCTTTCATGAATTTCATAATTCTAGTATAAATGGTCTGGCTTTGACTGGATCAGATAAGAAATTTATCAAAATGCACATTAGCTGATTTGAATACCTTTTACCATTGAACTAAAAAAAAAAAAAAAGAAACCCGAAACTTCTTGGGCAAATTTAAATTAATAACGTTGGTCTGAGTTCCTCGCGCGCAGAGGATTTGCCGATCATATAAATAGCATAAGCCCCCCATGAAACTTGATTATTATATACTTGCCCAAAATTTTGATTATTTTTATATCTATTATAATATTATTATAATTAGAGGTATTCTTTGAAAACAGTCAAAGATACTTTATCTACGCTTCCACCAATGCATCAAATTTTATGACTCAGGGAATAGTGTCAGTATTTCAGGAAAAAATCAGAGGTTCTGAATTCTATAATGTGACCCTCCATATATTTCCTCTTACCCTTTGCCCTGTATTGAACACATGACCTATGACCTATGCTCTCTCTCTCTCTCTCTCACAAGTAATGGGTACATTTCAAACTATTTTTAGAATTTTGTATGTCAGGTGAATATGAATAGTCATTCTTAGTCCCTTAAAGAGTTATTTTTAACCTAATTCAAATTATAGTGTCTAGTCATTAAATTTAAAAAAATAATCGATACAAATTTGGACAATTTATAACGAAAAAATATGAATAATTGAATTAGTATGAATAGTCAAATCATCTGAGCTGATTTGAAATGCAAAACTTGAAGAAATTTGTTGGGAAGCATAACAAAGGTGTTAATGAATTACTTAATCTGTAATTAGTAACATGAACACATGGTCGGTGCCCTAGGGGTGTGTGTTGTTTTTTTTTGGGGGGGGGGGGGGGGGGGGTTGTTGTATACTTTTAAGGTTTTTTTTTTTTTTTTTTTCTCATTTTGGGGGCTATGGGGTAAGTATATACTTTTAAGGTATATGTATGACCTAGCCTCAAGCCTTTTTTTCAAACTCCCTTACTTTTTTTTTTTGAACAATAAGAAATCATATATATATATATATATATTTCATTAAGCAGAGAAATTTTGGTTACAATCAATCAAAAGAAAAGTCTTA